AGGCCGGTGGTGGCCACTGGGTAGTCTGATGATGCCCCCAGGGAAGACCTGACAGGCAGGCGGCCAGCCCAGGCCCCACGGTGGGGGTCGGGGGGACCTCTGTAGCCTCCTAGAGGCTCAGCTATCACCAGTGAGCCCTGCAGCCTCAGCACAGGCCTGGCTGGCAGCCCACCGTGGTGTGCACACAAGGGTGAACGAAGGGGGCACACTTGTGCACGTGTGTTTGTGGAGGGCAAAGCCAGCCTTCAGTTTTTCCCAGGCTCGAAGAAAATGCCTGGGCCACACGCCATCTCCAGGGCACCGGACACCTCAGGTCCTGGTTCGCACATCCCAGGAGCCAAGTCTGTAGGCAGCCAGGAGCCCGGGTCCCCTGTGGTCTGCTTGCAAAGGAGGGTGGTGGGGGAGGGGAGGAGGCCCTGGGGTGGGACGTGGCCTCTCTGTCCTGCTGTCTGCTTTAATTGCCAGGAAATGTGTCAATATTTGCACATGGGAACTGGTGGCCTGCTGCGGCGCTTGGTCAACACGGCCCAGAGCCGGTTTCTCCATCTGTAAGGAGGGGCTGTCGCTGAGCTCTGGCCTTCCCCCTGCTCGTCAGACAGGGCAGGTCTCTCCTCTCCGGCCATTAAATGGCAGCAATTACAGAGAGAATGAAGTAAACGCTCAATGCCTGTTTCTGTAGGTGGCGGCCAGCGGAGCTGTCGGCCACATAGTCAGGCTCCAATCCCAGCCGCCACCACTTCTTAGCTCTGTGGGACTCTGGGCTAGCCTCGGAACCGCTTGGAGCCTCCGTTTCCTCATCTGTAAAATGGGCTCCATACCCCCTCATGTCACAGGACTGTCTCAGGACCTGAAGGCTATGGACTGGGCTCCGGCCGAAGCCAGCGCTGTGCTCTGTGTCCGGCAGGGGGCGCTGCGGGACCTCCGCCTGCTCGCGGGCTCCGCTCGGCTGGACTCGGCTCTCTTCGGCCGCGCTCGGCTCCACTTGCTCCGACTCGGCTGTGTTCGGCCGCACCCCCTAGGCTCGGCCAGGCTCGGCTCTGCTCGGTTGTTCTCGGCCGCAGTCGGCGAGATTCGGCCGTGCTCGGCCAACGCCGGCCTGGCTCGCGCCTGCTCGACGCCGCGCGGCTCTAGACCAGCAAAGTTCCCTCCCCGGCGCCGGCGCGGCTCCTCCCTGCCGCCTGGGGTTGGGCTCCCGGGTGGAGGCCCCGAGGCCGCAGCCGCCGCAGAGCAGCGGGTGGGCTTTTGCGCGGTGGGGCCCGGTTTGGCCGAACCCTGGGTCGTGCCGAGGGTGCCGCGAGCGTGCCCGCGGCCGGTGGCGGACTTCGCCAGTGCTCGAGGCCAAAGCGGGTGGGCCTGGGGTCGGGGAGCCTCCCCCCGCCCCCCACTTCTGCCCAGAGAAGAAGGTTGGCGGCTGGATTCCCCCGCGCCTTGGAGGGTTCATCATCCTGTTCTGCCACTAGTCGCCCGTGGGGAGGGACCCAGTTGCTGCACCTTTTTCCTTTAGCCTCAGTTTCCCCCTCTGTTAACGAGCGAACGTTCTTCTGTGGCAGGGCAGGGGGGCGGGCGACGGGCAGGGATCCTGAGACCAGCTGGCCCTTTCCTTCCCTGGGCCTCGTGGGGATATGGTTTCACCTTCGGTGAAATGAGATTAAACTCGCCCAACGCGGATTAATACCCTGGGGGTCATATATGGGTTGTGGAAAGTCCAGGAAACGGAGTCCGAAGGTGGACGTTCGCCCAGGACTAGCCGGCTAGTCCGTGGAAGGGCTCAGTACAACCCAGTCTGGGGTTTTCCGCGCAGGAGGGAGCTGGACGAACTGCTGGGCAGAGGGAGGGTCCCGCCGGGCCCTCTGCCCACTTTGTGCAGAACGGGGTTTGGAAAAAGTGCATGGGCTCCCAGGCCACCCTCTAGTGCGTCGCAGTGGGCCCTTCATCTTCCTCCTCCCCTCCTCTACCCCATTTCTCCTGAAGAAGGGGGTGGGACGGGTGGGGAGGGTCACAAGCCGCGGGTGGCATGGGGTGGGTGCCCTGTGGGGTGGGACACCCACAAGCTACCGGGCGCGCTGGCTCTTCCCAGCAGGTGGCGCTCGCGGCTTCCTTTGTTTAGTTTCTTAATTGGTTGCCGACCTTGAGCGAACTGCTCTGTGACAACCATTCACAATTTGCAAAGCTGACTCCAGGAATCACGTTTTCTCTTCCGTCTCATCTGTGGAGGGCACACATTTTATTTTTTTAAATACGTGAGGGTACCTGGCACTTTGCAAGCGCTGGCTAAATGTCACTATTTTTATACCTTCTCCCAAATCCTGGGCAATAACCGAGGTGTGGCTAGGAACTTGGTTCTGAGAATGAGTCCGTGCCTCATTTTCCTCATCTGTAAAATGGGGATAGTGCCTGTGCCTACCTCAGAGAATTGTTGAGGGATGAGATGAGTTAATACGGGTAACAAACCTTAGAACAGAGCCAGGTAGGGAATAAAAGCCAGCTTTTTGAGCAGGGAGAAAAGAGGGAGACACACAGCTCTGACCTGGGTTTCTGGCCTTGGTGACGAAGGTTTGAGCAGAGTGATGAGAGGTATCCCAAGCCAGCTTCTCTGGACATGCGATCTCTCGGCTCCCAAGGCTTCTGACTTGGGTGTGCCTGAGGTGAATGGGCTCATGCCCTTCCATATTCATTTGTAACCACGGAGAAGCACTGACAGGTGGCCAATAGAGGGTATCCCAATGGGTGTCCCCCAGGCTGCTCAGATCCCCTTGATCTTGTGTCCCTCTGGCTCAGGGACACCAAGGCTCAGACGTAGGGAAGTGTGCCCAAGGTCACGCGGCAAGAAGGAGCTGAGACCCGACCCAGTTTTCTCTGCCCGCAGCTGGAACTCTGTCCCCAAGCTATCTGGCTGGCTGGGGAGATCCTCTGAGTGGCTGGGAGACCAAGGGATGCTGCACAAATGAAGGGATTTTAGGCACCGCGAGAGGACAAATATTGAAGTATAATACCTCTGAGTTGTGGCCCCCTGTCTGGCCTGCCTCCAGCTGTTCTGGACAAATAGGACACGGGGCGTTTTTTCTGGGGCATCGGCCCTGCTGGGAGCCACAGGAGCCGGCCTTAGAAGCTGGCAAGTCAAGTCCCTTCCCTGGCCCCAGCCTCCCCTCCCCTGTTAAATGGGATGGGCAGTCTTTGGCAGCGGGGCTGTTGAGTGTGGCATGAAGCACGGGGCAGGCGCCAGATAGGGTAAACTCTTCTTGTGTCCCCAAACCAATCCCATCCCTTCCCCCTTTCCTAGGCTTCCGAAGCCCGAGGGCTCAGAGACAGCCAGGAGCTGTCTTCCCCTCTGGTGATGCTGACTCAGCCCTTTTCTGGTGGCAGCAGCAGGGAGGGTTGGGAGGGTGGCTCCCCCTGGCTCCCTCCCTCTGCAGCCCTGGCTCAGTGCCCTGGGAATGCTGCCTGGGGCAGGGCCACGTAGGGGGCATGAACAGTGTGGACTTGGAGTTTTCTCAGCGGCCATAGCCCTTTTATCTGCTTCCTTTGGGGCCTCCTTGGACCCCTAAATAGGCCTGGGGTGCGGGTGGGGGACTCCACGTGGGCCGGGGAGGTGGAAGCAGCACAAAGCTAGAAGTTGGGAGAGTCTGACTCTCATTCCAGCTTGCACTCCAGTTGGCTGTGGCCTTGAGCCAAAGCCCTGGGTCTTTCCTGGGTCACAGAGTCCCTGTGTCAGATTAAGTAATAGCGTTAGGTCATCTCGAAGAGCCCTTCCAGGCTCTTGATGATCCCCCAAGCTGATAGAAAACCTGAGGCCCCCCGGAGATGAGAGCCGGTCAAGGACACAGAGCCCAGGGGCTGTTCTCTCCTCCAAACTCGCCCAGCTGAGCGGAGCCTGAGGTTTGCAGAAGCCCCAGACTGAGATCCATCCCCCTGGGATGTCTACACTGCCGTACCTCCTGAGGACGTCATGTCACCCCCTCCCTCTTCCCAGGGAACAGACGCTAAACGACCACCTTCGCCCCTCAGCGATGCCACGACCACCTTCGCCCCTCAGCGATGCCCAGGCGTGTTGACGGAACTCCAGTGGGGTGGGGGTGGGGGGCCCTTCCTTCCGGTGGGGTTGTGGTCCTTCATCAGCCCCGCGGCCCTGGAAAAGCCCAAGGCTAGAGTGGGCAATGGGAACACCTTCAGGGACCAAAAGGCCCTGCAAAGGTGAGGCCCAGCCCAGGCCTCGAGTCCTCAATAAATGGAGAATGTGAGGGGGCTAGAGGGGGAGGAGCATCCGAGACTGCCTCTGCGGGGTCCCCAGGGTTCTCTGACCCCAGAGGCTACAGCCTTTGCAAATCTGCCATAGCCCAACAGGGAGGAGGCTGAGAATGAACCCAGGGGCACACTCCACGGGCTGCCCTCCTCCCAACTTCTTGGGGGTCATTTCCACGGGGGCAGGGTTGGCCCTTAAAGACCAAGGGGATGGGCCAGTCATGGGAGATTTCCAGGCAAAGGAAGGGGATTTCAGAGTCCATCAGGGATGGGGGGGTTGAGCCGGCTGCCACCCTTACCTGATGCCTGAGGGGATGGTAACTGGTCACTGACTCACTGAACAGGTATGCTGTGCCTGGGCTGGGGACTGGACTTCTGCAGGGATGGAGAGGTCACGGGGTTGGCCCAGTCACCCACTGGTGGTGGCAGTGTCAGGATTTGAATCTGAGGCTGTATGGCTGGTGCCTGTCCCCCTCCATGCTGGACCCTGCCCCCCTCCTCGTGACTTGGAGCAAACAGGCCAGGCCCACCCCCACCCAGCCTCCCCTTTCCTGAGCACCCTGGGGGACTCCTGCCCAGTCCCTTCCCTGGCCTTGATGTTCCAGCCTGCACAAAAAGGGGCCTCACTCGGACCCTTCCCGGCTCCAAGTCTGTTGAGCCCCTGAATCAAACCAGACCCCACCGGACCACAAAAGAGTTAAGCCAAGGAAATCCCCGGCTCCCTAGGCTCCCTTTATCTCCGCAGATCCCAGAGGCTGGAGTGGAGCGGGCTGGGAGGAGGGGAAGTGGGAAGCCAGCTCAGCCTGCTCCCTCCGCCTTCCCTCCGCCTCCCTCCCTCCCTTCCTCCCTCCCTCCTCAGCTTGCTTGCTTGCTTGGCCTGGGGGTCCGGGCCAGCAACAAGCAGACATGGGCCAAGGAGCCAGAGGCTGCCCAGAGGCTGGGGGTCTGTGAGCCGCTGTGGAGGCCGCCGGACACAGGGTGAGTGATGAAAGGTCCTTTAACTCCCTCCAGCAGGGTTCCGGGGACTGGGGTCAGAATTCCCCTCCTCCCTCCTGCCTTCCTAGGCACATCTTGGGTTCTGCTCTCTCCCTCTGACCCTGGCCAGCCCCTCTAGTTCTCCAGCTGACTGAGATCTCAGCCCCCCACACCCCCAGAAAGGCTGCCCTGAAGTTCCAGCTATTCCTGCCCCTTCCTGGACACTCAACAGCTCAACTCAGCAGGCCCGGCTCCCTCCCTCCCCAGAGGGCTCCCAGCTCCTGAGTGGAGGCAGCAGGGACCCCCAGATCACCCCCTCCCACCTCCCAAGACATGGTCCCTCACCCTTGATCCCTGCCAGGCACCCTCCCCCAGGGCCAGTCAACATCACGGCTCTGGTTATTATTACTCTTGTTCAAGGCTGCTTCGCCTCCTACTTCCTGCTTCCCAGGTTACGGTTCTGTGTCTCAGAGCCTTTTGACTCCCATCTGGCCTGGCCAACAGAAACATCCCCAACTGTGCCAGTCCTCCGGGACAGACTCTGCTCTGCCCAGCCTGGGCAGGCACTGGGAAGAGGTCTGGTCGTTGCAGAAGGAACACGTTGTTCTATTTGATTTGCTTATTACTGAAGTGTAATTGACATATGAAGTTAGTTTCAGGCGTAGATGACTACATCCTAGTCATTCGGCAATTCTATACATTACTCAGTGCTCGCCCCGATGAGTATAGTCACCCTATGGTGTTGTTGCCATGTTATTGATGGTCTTCTCTCTGCTGTCCCCACCCCCCTCCTTTTTTTTCAGAGTCTTTTACAAGTCAGGCACTCTCCCTGCATTTGGATCCTCCAAATAACCTGGGAGGCGGGTAGAGGCTTCTTCTCCTTTTAAGTGTCAGGGAGTGGGAAGCCCAGAGAGGTGAAGCCCCTAGCCCGGAGGTCACACAACTTGTAAACTATCCTGGGATCTCAGGTCTAACCCTAAGGCCTCGCCTTTCCGCAGAAAGTCACATCTATGACCAGGAAAAAGAGGGGATTTCTGCTCTTCTCAAAAATCACTGGGATGTGACATTGATAAATACCAGATGAGGGTGATCTCTGTCTGAGAAACTGATCTGCCTGATTGAGCAGAGCCGGAAACCAGAGCAGGGGGGGAGCTTGGGAATGGTCACCTATAGGAGACGGTGGTGTCTCTGGGGACCACCTGCCCGCCCACCCCCAGCTACTACCCAGCGCCCAGAGCGGGGTGGGGGCCCCGATGCGGCTCCTGCTCTTTAAAACCTATCTCTCACCTCAGTGCTCAGTGGAGACAGAATAGCATTTAAAAATAATAATAATTTTACCTTCTCTGCATGTATTAACCACGAAAAAAAATATTTTTGAATTGTACTAAATGTTAAAGGAGAACGAAAAGGAAATAAACAAAGAAAACGCCAGAAGTGTAAAAACCAGTATGGTTTCAAGAGCTGAGTTTCTGATCCGGCGATAAAGTGCCAGCCCCCAAACACCGCTACCACCTCAAAGGCTCTTTGCCTGGCTTCCTGCCCACCCAGCCCCAGCCTGTCCCCAGCGTCTGCTGTCCCGGCCACTTCCTGCCCTCTCTTGGAGCCCTGGATTCTCTCTTGACCAAGGCCAGAGACCGATCTTTCATAAATCCTTGGGCTCCTCTGAGCCTTTTGAAGTTTCCAGACCTCCTAATCCTGCTCCCTCATTCCAATTTGCCCCCTTGGCAGCTGATTGGTAGACCTAGGATGATTGACGCAGCCATCTTCCAATGAATTGACTCTGGAGCCTTCCCTGCAGGGCTTCAGTGTAGGGTTGTGTGGGTTGTTGACTGTGCAGAGGTGCTGAGAGGGGAGGTGGGCTGACGCCAGCCCTTGCCAAGCTACACCCCCTCAGGGCTGCAGTCCTTCCAAAAATGACTTCTTTTCTTTCTTTGTTTCTAACGCGTCCGTCCAGCGAGGCACCTCCTTTCGCCTCGCACCCAGGCAGTCTAGGCTCGCGGGCCCCTGCAGCCTGCAATTCTGCGTCGTGCCTCCTCCTAAACTCTCAAAGATGCAAAGCAGCAGCACTGTGCAGAGCCCCGAGCATTTTCTCTGCAACGGATGCTGCTTCCTGGGGCTGCTAGAAGAAACGAACTTTCCTAGCCCCTTTGTCGGGACCACGGTGCTCCTGGGTCAGACCCTGGGCTCAGCCACGTGTCCCTCCTCCCGAAAAACAAGCCTGCGGGGACCTTTTGTGTTTGGCGGTGACGCGGGGGTTGGGGGGGAGGGGGCTGGGTGGGGAGCTCTTCCTCGCCCACCTCGGCTGGAGGCCTCCAGGGCCCCTTGTCTGTTCGTGCGGCGTGGCTTCTTAGAGGGGCTCCCTTCCCAGGCCCATGTGTTTCTGGGTACTTGGCCTGCGGGCCCTGCGTTGCCTCCAGCCTCTTCATGACCTTGGAGAAGCTGCCTCCCTGCACGGGTCTCAGCCTCCTCATCTGTGAAATGGCGGTGCGGACGCTCCCTCCCTGAGTCAGGTCAGGCGGGGAGGTGCTGTGCTGGCAGCCTCCAGGTGGGACAGTGCAGATGTTAAGTTCAATGGTGTCTCTGCCCCTCCTCCCTTGCTCCAGGTCGCCATGGGGTTAGCCGCCCTGGGCCTCCTCTGCATGGTGCTTCTGTTCCCTCTTTTGGTGCTTGGGGTCCCCACCGAGGAGCCCACCTCTGGGGAAACCGTGGCCCCCAGTCCCCCTGGGTACTGTCGCCGGTGCTGTGACTCTGAGGACTCCCTGACCTCTGCCGACGAAGCAGATGTATCCTAAGCCTCTCCATCTGCCCTCCCATACGTACTGCCTGAGGTCAGGCCCTACATTAACATCACCATCCTGAAGGGTGAGTGCCCACACGTGGCTCAGGCTGGCCGGGTCTGGTTGGGGGCGGGGAGGGCATGGGGGTCTCTTCTGGAGTTGGTGAGGTGGAGGGAGCAGAAAAAACCAGGAGGGCAGGCAGTCCCAGACCCCCTTCTTTCATTCATACATTTACTGAGCACCTACTATGTGCCAGGACTGTTCTGAATTCTGAGGACGGAGCATGAACAAACCAGACAGGGACGCCGCCTGCCACGGAGCCTCCATTCTAGTTGGGGAGGCAGACAGTGAGCAATAAACATATTACCCAAGTTAGTGAGACAGAATGTTCAATGGTGATAAATGCTAAGGCAGTGGCGAGGTAGAGCAGGGTAAGGGGCATCAGGGGGGGCAGGGGGGTAGGTTGCATATTAAATGGGGGGGTGGTTGGTGTAGTTTCAAAGAGAAGGTGAGAGAGAAGCCATGTGGACATCCGGGGAAGAGTATTCCAAGGTGGACAGCAGGTGCAAAGGCCCTGGGGCAGGAGTGGGTCTGGTGTGTTTAAGGAGCAGGGGACAAGAGGAGGAGCTGAAGTTCGAGGTGAAGCAGGGGCCAGATCAGACTTGGGCTTCCCCTCTGAGTGGGATGGGGAGCAGGGGAGCGCTCAAGCAGAGGGACCTGACCCCACTTAGGTTTCAAACGGATCCCTCTAGTGTCACACGGAGAATAGCTAGCAGGGGACCAGGGTGGAAGCAGGGAGGCCTGTGGGCAGCTGCTGGGTCTGTCCAGGTCGGAGCTGGCTCCCTGTCCTCTAAAATCAGGAAGACGCTTCTGCTGCTGGGGGCTGCGGGCAGCTGGGGCTGGGGCCAGGGCCTAGACCCCCTTCACCTCCTCCCTGTGCTGACAACCACCCCAAGAGCTTGGAACTTTGTCATCCTTCCCACTTTGCAGATGGGGAAACTGAGCCCCCGAGAGGGGAGAAGCTGTGCTAGGAGCGCACAGCTGTCAGGAGCAGAGCCGGGGTCTGTCCCGAGGTCTCCAGAGGGCCAGGGCTCGGCTGGCCTCTGAGACCCTCTGGCCCTGAGATTTTGGGGGTGACGTCGCCTCCCTTCCTCCAGCTCCGTGTCTCCCAGGCCCGTGGGGCCCCTGCCCGAGGCTCGAACTGCCTGGCTGCTGGAGGTACTTGCTCCACGCTGCCCAGGTTGAGGACACTCCTGGGCCAGACTTAGTTGCCTGCCCAGGGGGGTGGCACTTGGCTATTGTGATGGGAGGCTCCTGGCTGGCGTCCAGGCTCCCAGGTCCCAGCCCCACTGCTCGGCAACCCTGCGCCCTGTGGGTCAGGCTCGTGTCTCCCTCCCTGGCTTGCTGCCTCATGTGTAAAAAGGAGAAGGAACCCCCCCCCACTCCTAAATCCCCCTTCCCCCTCTCCCTCCCTCAGGGCGGGGCAAAGAGGTGGTCTGCAAACTGTAAAGTGCAGTGCACACAAGATCGTTCTCCATGATGGCTGTTGAGCCGAAGCTCTTCGGAGCTGTGGACCCTTCTCCCCGCGTCCCTCCTGGCTCCTCCTCCCAGGGGCTGGGCCCCTCCTCCACTCTTTCCAGCCGTGTTTCCACATCCTAGGAAAACGCAGGGCCGAGCAGGGCTCTCAAGGGGGAGTGGCTGATGGCGTGATTTCAGGCGCTGTGACGGGCGGTGGGATCAAGTACCTTGAGACACAGGCGGTCACCTGCTTCTCCCGAGTTCAGGGTCAGCCTGGGACAAAGGCCAGGCTGAGGCACACGTGCCTGCGGACCAGGTTAGGGGCTGCCAGACCCCGGGGCAGGCAGCGACGGGCTGAGCCTTGCCGGGTGGCTACAGGACACCCTCCCCTAGGACATGTTGAGGGTCCGGGAACACCCCTGTGAGGTGGACGTGATGCAAGGTAACCAAGACCCTGACCATGAAACGCCCCAGTGGGGACAGCATTGTCACCAGTGGCTGCCTGGCCTCTAACCAGGGCTCTTCCTCTCCGGTGGGCCGAGGTATTCTTCTTGGTTCCTTCTCTGGGCCAGAGATGCCGAGAGCATCCTGCACCCCTGCGTCTCCCCTGCAGGCTGGATGGGTATGGGGACTCTTGGGTTTGGGCCTGGCCTCCCAGGGACCCCATCACCCCTTCACTGGAGGGGAGGGGAAGAGGCGGGTGGAAGACAGACCCTCCTGAGTCTTGCGTGTCCTGCTTCCCCTAAGCTGTGTGACTCCGGGTGAGTCCCTTAACGCTCCTGGGAGCAGAGCTGCTCATGGAATCTTCTTTAGAGGGACGTTCAGGGAGGTGACGCTCGGAATGCAGTAGGGGCTCAGTAAATGCGGGCTCCTTCTCTGGCCTCCTTCTCGTGCCTTCTGCAAACACACGGAGAAGCTCCCTTGGTGCAGGCCTGGGCGCCTGCCCTGACTTTCCCCTTCTTGTCCCCACAGGTGACAAAGGGGACCGAGGCCTGCTGGGCAGCCCCGGGAAGCTGGGCAGGGAAGGTCCCCGGGGAGAGCGCGGCCCGCAGGGCACCAAGGGCGCCAAGGGGCAGACAGGCAGCCCCGGGGGCCCGTGCCAGACTCGCTTCTCTGCCTTCTCTGTGGGCCGCAAGACGGCCCTGCACAGCAGCGAGGGCTTCCAGCCTCTGCTCTTCGACACGGTCTTCGTGAACCCGGACGGCCACTTCGACCTGGCCACCGGCCACTTTGTCGCCCCCCTGCGCGGCCTCTACTTCTTCAGCCTCAACGTCCACAGCTGGAACTTCAAGGAGACGTACGTGCACGTCGTGCACAACGAGCAGGCGGCCGTCATCCTGTACGCGCAGCCCAGCGACCGAAGCATCATGCAGAGTCAGAGCGTGATGCTGGCCCTGGCGCCTGGGGACCGCGTCTGGGTGCGGCTCTTCAAGCGCGAGCGGGAGAATGCCGTCTACAGCGACGATGTCGATACCTACATCACCTTCAGCGGCCACCTCATCAAGCCCGAGGAGGACTAGCGCCTCCAGCGGGGGGTGGGGAGGGGGAGGTGCTCCGACAGGGGGTTGGGGTGGGGGCAGGTCCTCCGCTGCAGGGTCTCAGTCTGCGCCTCCGTAAAGTGGGCCCCCGGGACCTGGCATTCCGGGTGGTCTTCCTCTTCTTTTCTTCCCTCCATCACCCCTTTCTCTCCTCTCTTGGGCCTATTTTAAGAAGCTCTCTGACCGAAATATTCTAGAATGTTCCCAGCCTTTTAGACCAGCACTTCCCCAGACTCGACTGTGCATCTGAATGACTTGGGGACTGTGCTAAAAACGCAGGTTCTGATTCTGATTCTGAGTCTGACTCCGGAGTAGGCCCCTGATTCTGCATTTCGCCTAAGTTCCTGGGTGATGCTGACGGTGCTGGTCTATGGGCCCTGCTTGAGTCACCAGATTCTAGAACTTTCACCTTCAGATGCTCTCAATATTCAGGAATCCTCCAAAGCTTCTAGACTCTTCCCAACACCCTTCAGTTGTCTCCTCCTTCTGGGGCTCCCCTTCCTCTGTTCTCTTGCCCTTCCCACCTTCTCTCCCGCGTGCGCCCCACCTATGCAGCTGCCTTTCACTTAGTCACTCATCAAACGCCTGCCGAGCACACACTCCGAACCAAGCTCCGGGAAAGCTGGGGTGAATCGGACACAGGCCTTGCCGTTGGTGAGCGCCCGGTCCAGCCATGGTGAGGGGACACAGGATTTGGCAACCAGACCCAGATACCTGCGGGGGCTCCAATGACACGAGTCTGTGTCTGGGCGGCACTTCAGTCCCTCATCACCCACAGCTCCCCAAGGCTGGTGCGACAGTGTCTATTCCCTTTCTTGGCCCTCCTTCCCTCCCTGCCCAGTGCCCTTCATTAAAGGAAACCCCAGAAGGGCTTTGGTCAGACCAAGGGTGCTTCGAAGGAGGGCCCCGGGCTTGGGGCATTTTGAGGTAAAGGGGACCCTGGGGGCAGGGAGCCCAGAGCCACAGCTCCCACACAACTGTGTGGCCACCTGCGAGGGCTCCTTCCTGCCTCCGCGTCCCCTTCAGCCCTATCAGCCCGCCCTCCCAAAGGTGCCTGCCTCCCAGGTGCCCGCGACCCTCCTTGGCCCGTCTCGCCAGCCCAGTCAGTGTCCCTGGCTTTCCAGGCTTGATTAAGGTGCCAAGGCCCTGGAGGGCATCTCCTGGCCAGCAGAGCCTCCTCGGACCCGGTGCTGCCTTTACGGATGCCACTGGGCAGCGGGCCAGGCTTTGGACCCCTCAGCAGGTCTAGGGAGCTGAAGCAGGAGAGACCAAGGTCAGTTAGGGACATCAGGGCTTCCGTCATTTCTCCCTCCCCCAGGGTGGGGCCGTGTCCAGCCTTTCTCTCTCTCCCCCCACCCCAGGCGGCCCGAACCTCTCTCCAGGGGGAGAGGGCCTCCGCCCATTGGTGCTGACGCAGACCCCGGGGCAGAGGTGGCCCTGGCAGTGATCTCTGGTGCTCACTCGTAGCCAAAGGATCCACGGCGACGTGGCTGGGGGCGGGCAGCAGGACCTGACCCGGTGCTATGCCACCGCCCCCAGCCCGACTCCACCCCTGAGCTGCTTGTCCAGAGCGATTAAAGTCTGTGTGTCTCTTTGGCAATTCAGGCTGGTTCTTTCCGCTCGGCTCCCCCCGGGGCAGCCCGTCCCGGTTTGGCTGGCGCCCCCGTTGCAAGGCTCCAGAGACTAAGGCAGCCCAGGGCTCCTCTCCACGTGCTTCCCACCCAGCAGGACAGCGGCCCCCTCTGTCACTCGCCAGCCAGTGCACCTGGGAGGTAGTGGAAGCCGCCCCATCATGCCCTGGCTGTGGCCTCCGGCAAAGCCCCCACATGTCTGAGCCTCAGTTTCCTTGTCTGTAAAATGGGGGATGAAGATAACCTACCCCGTGGCGTGGCCATAAGGATCAGCAGAGAGGTTGCCGGGTGAGGACCACGTCCATCCTTTGACCCGCACCTATTGAGCACCTACTGTGTGCTGGGGAGCCCACTGGGCACAGTGCATCACCTTGCCTTGGAGAACACAGAGCTGACGTTCCAGCGAATCACCCGGAAGTGCTGAGCAAACCCCCACAGCCCCTCCTTGGGGATTCTGTCTCATAATCTATATTTAATATTGACGAGAGCACTGTTGGCCGTTCTCTGGAGGAAAACACACACGTCACTCTACAGTGGACTGGCTCGCGGGGTTCTGACTTTCCCAGCCAGAGCGGTGCGGGGGGGCTACTCACATGTTTTTACATTTGAAGTAACCCCTGGGGGCTCCCTTTACAGGCTCAATGGGCCACCCTCTTCCCCGGCGCCTCCCCATGGCTGTGTTAGACGGCTTCCTGGGTGCTGTGTGCGAGCTATCCAGCAGGAACTGCCCAGGACTGAGCCCAGCCTGGTGGCCCCCACCCAGGCAAGGGTAGATGGAAGTCTTCGTGTCTTTGCGACCCCTACGGCCATGGAAGGAGTTTCCCACTTACCTGACTCCCTGCTGTGCTCACCCAAGAGGCTCCTAACAGGTCAGAGGCTACTAACCTAACCGGGAGGCGATCTGAGGGCGTGCTTTCCGCCCAGGCGCTGTTCACTAGCCATTAGCCTAACCAGCACTCCCTCCCTGCACCCCCCGGTGGTAACGGTCGCCCCCCCAATGCCAGGAGCCTTTGTCAGGGTCCCATCACAGGACAAGCGGGTTTGCCGCTTTTACTTATTTATTTTTTCTGGCAGCAAAGTTCACAGCTCTCAGAAAGCAGCTCTTCTACTGGCTCAGCAGACCTGCTGCAGACACTTCTATCTGTGGCTCAGAGTGGCCTCTGATGTCTGCCTGGGCCAAGTTATCCCACAGGAGCCCAGTTCCTGGCTTGGTGGCTTATCTCCGATGGGTGGTAAGAGCCCCTGGGTCGTTGTGATGGGGACCCTCCCGGAAGGCAACGCTTTGGTGGGGACTGGACGAAAGCCCCGGAAAACTGGAGGCCCCCAAGCCTGTGTGCCCCAGGAGATCTGCGGTGCTTAGTCCTGGTGGCTCGGGCTAGCCCACGTGGTTACCTCCCCACCCCGGAGATCATCCCTTTCAGTTACATACTTCGAAAAGAATATTTCCCTCTGAAATGTTAAGTGAACCAGGAAGGGAAGAGAGAGGAGGGGCATGAGGAGAAGAGGCTCATGAAATGGAAAACAGCCTAGACTAGGAGTCAGGGGACCTCACCTCTGCTTGGCCGTTGCTTGGTTGGGTGGCGTGGCGGTGGGGGGAGGGGGGATACAGGGGATATGGGGTGGGCGATGGTGATCAGACAGGGATCTGAGTTGAAACCAAGGGCAGAGCTGGGGCAGGCGGCTGAGCCTGGCCGTGTCGCTGGGGACCTGCTGCCTGGACGGGTGGGCCGGGTCCATCCCATGGGCTTGGGTAGGGCGTGTCTGGGATTCACACCAGAGGCCCTTCCTCTGCTGCGCTGGTGTACGTGGAAGCGCGTGGAGAATTCTAGAGAGGGTGATCCGGGAAAGCTTCTTAGTGGAGGGGGCATTTGAGCCGGGCCTTGGAGGACGACTAGGAGTTTGAAAGACACGGGATGTGGGGGCAAAGGCACAGCGGATGCAAGAGGCGGCCATGGGCCGGTGCGATCTGTGTTCTGGGCCCCTGGACCGGGCAGCAGGCTATGGAAATGTTTGGAAAGGTGGGAGAGACAGAGCAGGATGGGATTTGAGGCTGGAAAGGGAGGGAGAGGCCACGTCATAAAAGGCCTTGAATGTCTGCCTTAGTCTGGCCTTGACCTCCCAGGTGGAGCATGGATTGTGCAGGGGAGACCGGAGGCAGCCGTGCCCTGGGTGTGGACTGAGGACGCCACCCTGTGGGACAGGGCGGTATTCCCACTGGATTTCAAAGGAAGCAAGAGATTTAAGAGCAGAGGAGGGGCGGGAGGAGGGCAGCCAGGTAGGGGGTCCAGCTAAGGCAACGGGTCTCCCGGGCTCTGTTGTTCCCACTAGACTTTTCTAGGACAATGAGAGGAGGGAAGGCCTGGGTGCCAAGAGGTGGGCTTCTGGGCCAGGCCTGCCCATGAATGACCTGAGGATGACACGGTGCTGGGTAATGATCTAACCTCTCTGGACGCCCCCATTGTCCCTCTCTGTCACATTGGATTCAAAGCCCCTCCTCTCTTGCCCCACTGAGGCCTTTGAGGGGTATCCAACGCTGTATGGGGTGACTTTCAGAACTCCAGACCAGGACCCTTGGACCAACAATGGGAAGGACTGTGAAATTAGTGCTGACTGTCCCAGAAAATATAAAGTGCCAAGTGACAGGGGCTTGAGAAATTTCAGGGAAGTGGTAAGTGCTTGAATTCCAGAGCGCATGGGCTCTGGAGCCTGGCCAGGGTGAATTCCAATCCCGGAGCCCCGTTTGCTTAGAAGAGTTCCCGTCTCCGAGCCGACGCCATCATCTTTTCTGTACCCGTGAACTGGGCTCGTCACCCCGTCCCCATGAGTCTCTGTTTTGCTTCCAATGAGGCCCAAACCCGATGGTGTTTTGTGCATTAGCCGGCGCACCAAGGGCATCTGCAGGATGAATGATTTCACGGAGCCGGAGGGGAGAGGAGCTGCAGGAAGCAAGATTCAGGAGTCCTTGGCCAGGGGGTGAAACTCTGCAGCAACGTCCGCTGCTAACCTCCTGCTGCTGCCAGCTCGCGACCCGGGCTGGCAGCCACTTACTGCCACGTGTGCATCTGGAGGAAGGGAAAACATAGGCAGAAACTCAACATGACCAGAAACAGATGTCAAGAACATTATGGGCGGGGCCCAGCAGGGGAGAAGCTGGAGAGGAAGGAGGGATTTCCAGGACAGGAGTCAAGAGTGCGAGGCTAAGCCCCGAGGCTGGGAGCAGCTGGACTGCACGCCTGCAGGAAGGGAGGCTGGGTGGGGGCGCGCGCGCAGGGTCAGTCTCGGGTGTGAAGTTGCTGCCTGGAGGTGGTGGTGTGGGTGGGAGGAAGTAGTGAGTGAGGTGCGGGCCCACGGAGGAAACAGGGGACCCGCTGCAAGGCAGCGGCACAGTGAGAGTGTGGGTGTGGGTGGCCGTCCCTGTCCTTCCTCTGGCCAACTGCTATTTACCACTGGGGGAGGGGAGGGAGCTACGGATTCTTGCCATAAACACAGAAGTACGCGCACTAGAACTCGCTCTCTTTCTCCACCCGTACACTTGATTTCTATTAGGTGCTTCCATTCCGCTGAAGTGGGGGGAAATGAGAGGACTGGAAGTCCTCTCTCGCCACATTTCCGGAGCGGGGGGGGCTGGCCCTGAGGGTTGCATCCTGGCAGTGGGGAGAGGTTGGCTGGCCCCGCACGTCCGTGTGACACCTGCTGGGTTTGTCAAGGTCTCTTCTGCTCTGGGCTCCTGGTTCCACCCACATACCCGCTGGACCATGCTCCCTCCTGCAGAGCCTCCTGGGTCCTCGTCCCTCTTGGGACGTCCAGGTCCGCTCTGCCCAGGGGCTTACCTCACGGATTCTGCACCGCTCAGAGGACTGTCTGAGCCCAGCATCCTGTGCCTGAATATTCCACGCGGCCATTTCTTCTCTGGGTTCCCAGCCACCTCCCCAGGGTTCGGCCTGGGAGGAGAGAGCAATGGCCCTCTGAACCTCAGATGCCCCACACCTGTCGGGGATCGTCTCTGTGCCCCACGTCCAGGCTCAGCTGGGGAGGAGGGGGAAGGATCCCCCTCTGCCCGCCTCCCCCCAGGGGTATCTGGGAGCTCAGATCTACTCAGTGCCTACTCAGTGCATCCTCTCCCAAAGCTCTCTGCTGGGCACACAGACTCTCTCCTTCCCGTTTTAAAACATAAGAACCTAGAGCTGCCTGGGTGGCTCGGTCGGTTAAGCGTCCGACTTTGGCTCAGGTCATGATCTCACGGTTCATGGGTTCGAGCCCCACGTTGGGCTCTGT